GTGTTATAATACACTCAGAGACCATACCAGGTCTTCAAATCTCTACTGAATAATACAATCATAGGATGGTTTGGGCATCCACACCTTCTCTGGGCAGCCTGTTTCAGTGCCTCACCATAGTAAAGAATTTCCTCCTAACATGTAATTTAAATCTCCCCTCTTTTATTTTAAAGCCGTTACCCCTTGTCTGATCACTACACTCCCTGATAAGAGAGTCCCTTCCCATCTTTCCTGTAGGCCCCCTTTAAATATTGGAAGGCGCCTATAAGGTTTCCCCAGAGCTTTCTCTCCTGTAGGCTAAATCACCACAGCTGTAAGCTTTTTATACATTTATAGGCATTAATTCATATGTACCTGCTCATGTCATTATTGCCATTATCAAGTATTGTGTGGTATTGCAGTTAGTATCCAAATTGTGCTAACCACATAGAAGAGAAAAATCTGCCAATGCAGATAGCTTAGATTTTGGTAACAGCAAGTGTCATGAGATGAGAATTACAGTGAAAGCTTCAACAGTGTTAGGATAGGAATATGAAGATTACAGAAAAATACTGGATTTTTTGGTACTCTATTACAAGGCTTACAGGCTTTTGCAATAAATTGTTGATGATGCCAGGGTTCACATGTAAGCACTGCTTATTTTTTTGGGCTCTTCTTCCAACCTAATTAGGAGAAGGACTCCACAAACAAGCTCAGCGCTATTTATTTATTTATTAAGAAAATATTTCCTTCTCTTATGCCTAGTTTTGTTTGCTGTGTGTGATCACGCTGTCAAGCACGCTCTGCAGAGAGAAGCTCAATACATTGGGCAGTCCTGCATGATTGTTATTTAGCCACCGGCATCTCCCCACCTATTGACCTGATGTCCTAGGACTGTGCTCAGCTCCTTTAGTCGTCAATATTGTGATGAAAGACTTTCTTCAGCTATTTTCAGTGCTGAAGTCTTCCATCTTCTCCTTTTGCATGACTTGAGAAATGCAGGAACAGTTACCTCTGCCAAAGTTCCATGTGGAATAGTGATTTCCTATGGCGGAAAAATATGCTCTGCATAGTAATTACTGTTAAGTCAAGTCCATTTAATCTGCACAATGACTTCTATTGTCTTTGCAGTATGGGAGGATTTGGGAGGCCTAGTCCTCTCCCAGGTGAATAGGATGGCATTCTTAAGGAGTGTAGAGGTGTGAGAAATGTTAAATTGCTTACTTATATTGGGCAGCAGATCTTTTGGCATCGTGAGTGCACAGATATAAAGATGAAATATAGGCTGCAGTTTCTCATGAATATCAAGTCTACCTATGATGTAGACATGGGATAATCATTATGTAGCTTTCCTATTTCCCCTTATTAACTTTGCCCTACATACTTTCTTGAACCTCTAGGCAATTTTCCCCTCCCTTGTAGCTTGTGTTGGAAGTATGTAAAATTGCAGCAAGTACCCTTATTTTTACACCATTTTACTTCTATGTTCATTGAATCGTAGAACTGTTTTTGTTGGAAGGGACCTTAAAGATCATCCAGTTCCAACCCCCCTGCCATGGGCAGGGACACGTTCCACCAGACCTGGTTGCCCAAATCGTAATTCCAGGGATTGTGCATCCATCCACAACTTCTCTGGGCAACCTGTTCAAGAGCCTCACCGCCCTCATAGTAAAGAAATTCTTCCTAACATCTATTCTATATCTCCCCTCTTTAGTTTAAAGCCATTATCCTTTATTCTGACACTACACTTCCTGAAGCTTTTCTTCTTCAGCTTTTCAGATCTTCCACCTGACACACAAAATGGAAGACTTCATACAGTTTTCTTTGAAGAGAGACACACCATGGTTTTAAAATTAGTCAGATACATAAAGTCTGTCACACCATGAACACAGTCTAACTTCACCTTTCTCTACCTTTCAGTTTTCAGTCAATTAGTTAAGTTCATCTCATCTTCAAAACTGGTCGTTTCTAGTTTTTGTACTGTTCCAGCCACTGCTACAGTTCAAGGAGCGAGTGTGGCAGAGGAAAAGGAGGCTGTAATGTTTGGGTACCTGTGAATACACTTATCACAAAACTGGTGATTTGTATGTATTTTAGTTTCAAAACTTGCTCTTTAATATTATGATTAGAAAGCCCTCCTAAGTGATTTTTTTTTAAAGTCTATCCATTAAACTGAATGTTGAACATAACTTTATTACTTTCCCCTTTTGCGGTTTTCTTTTTCTGTTTACATGGGCTGAAATCTGAAGATTTTAGTTCTTTACTTAAATTTTGCCATAGCTTTCCCATTGTGGTTTGACCTTTTGCGGAGATCTTAGTGGTCCCTAGACCACAGTTTGAAAAGCACTGTTTGGAAAATATTTAGACTTCAGTTTTGTTTTGGTCTTTTTATGGAGTTAGAGAATTGATGGGTCCAAGTTCATGGATTCAAATTTTTTGGAACAGGACTGTTTCCAGTGAAGTATGTTGCTTAATGTTACTAACTCCAAGTAGGACATATCAGCTCCTGAGGACAATATATTGGTACAAAAATCAGCAAAATACCTTTTTTTTTTTTTTTTTTTCAAAATTCTCCGCCATCTTGTCCAGCTCCTGATTTTCTGGATGATAGAGGAAAATAACTTGCAAAACCCTTAAATATTCAGGTGAAATCCAGATTTGGCATCTACAGATCTTTAATTCAACACTTGTTGCATCATTACTTTCCAAATCCCTCCTACTGCCCAATCCAGTTCCATAAAAGCATGACACCTGCTCAGTTTTTGTCCTTTCCTTGTAGCCAGTGCTGTGGAATTAAAAAATAAAAAAATCCAACTCTACATCAGGAATCCTAGGCAAAAATATCTCTCTTGATTTCATATGAAGTGGCATAAAGATATGACTATCATCTATAAAATTAGACCATAAGTGCCCATAACAGCAGTAGAACGTACCATACTGAGCTATCAGTGATCAGAGTTCAGTCAGTGACCTGGCTGTGACCCTGCTGTGATGGAAGCGAAAGAACTTGTCTGGAGACTTACATTTGAAGGTATGCATTAAATTGTACATTGTCCAAAATGCATCTTCTAGCTATTACTTTAGAACACCCAATATATTAGTGAGTCTTCATCACTGATTATTCAGAAGGGATTTCCAATTGCTGTGCTGCAGTTCTTTGAGCAGCCACCTTTCCTACTAGGTGACAATATTTGACCAAAAATGTTGGGTTTTTCCCCTTAAAAAAATAATAAAAGAAAACCCTAGAAATAAAGGCAATTGCTTCTGTAAGCAATTTCTAAGTTTGTCTTAGACATGTTACGGATGGAAAACAGTTACTTGGTACTGCACAGTTAGTCCACTGAGGTTAATTAGTGATCTGTCAGGTTTTGCAGGAGCCAAGAAGCAATGAGAAGTAATCTAGAGTTTGGATTGAATATTCTGTCTCTCGTACAGATTTGTAAATGGAGTTTACAAATTTCCAACCGTGCAAAGAGAGGTATTTTTTTTCTTAAAAAAAAAAAAAAAAAAAAAAGCTGTTTGGAAACAATCTCAGCAGTACATTAAAATGCTGTGTTACAGCCATGACCTACCATGTTATCACTAATAAGTGATCCTTCAGTGAGTCGAGAGCTGAGGGTTTAATTGCCAGCTTCAGGGATTCTCATTTTGTTCAGTTTTCAGTCTCTAAGTTAGAGTCCATTTTCCAGCACTACAGTCCTTTTGACTCGTGTCCTCTGCATCTCTAGCTGATGAAAAAATATTGTAGAGCTTTACCATGTGTGCACCCAGAGCATATGACAAATCTTTGTGGCTGGTACGGGTAGGGCAGATTATTGCTTCTGACTGGTTGGGAAAGCATAAAGCGGGTGCTATTGACTGGGTGTTGACATGCTACTGATGAGGGTGCTTTGGCAGGGAGGGCGTTGCAGTTCCTACAGGTAGGCACAGGTACAGGTGAGAAACTGAGCTGTCGCTGAGCAGTGAGCAATTCCCAGGTGCTGCCAACCTGGAGTCAGGAGAGCAGAAAAGCAGCTTTGCTGAGATGGCGTGTGCTGGGAGGCAGGAAATAAGTGTGTGTTCCTAGCTCTGCTGTTGATGTGAGATTGTAGCCATACTCAGCCTCCCCCCTTGTAACTCTCTTTCCTGCCCCATGGGGCTGTTGTCTTCTGTGCAACATTTGTAAGTTTGCAGCTGTTTTTCAATACCTGTTTACCTACAGCATCTAACCGAACATCCAAGTTTCAGCTGAGCTGCCAAGTTAGAAACAATCTTGTCTTGCCTGTCAACATTAAGCAAGTGTGAGGGGTGGGAGAGCCTTGAGCAGAGGAATTTGGCTTGGATTTTTTTTTCTTCAACCTTACTCAGTTTTCTTAGCACTTAAATGATTCTGAACAGAGTTGTGAGGAAGAGAGATGATGAGATAACTGCAGCATAGACTGATGTTGTGAGATGATAAGGTGAAAAGATAAGGTGACACTGCACAGTGTCTTTTAATTGCTTCATATATTCAGTGTTAACATATGTTCAAGAAATTGGATCCTTGCCTTGGCTGAGCTTCTGTCCCAGAAGACATGCCTTGCATTTCACCACTGGCTCACTCTGTCACTGTTGGTGGGCCTAGGAGGTGCTGCATTGGAAGTTTGTGTTCTTGTGGCTGAAAAATGTGCAAATAAATAGCAGTGTGCTTTACTCAATCTCTCCTTAAAAGATTGTTTCGAACCTCACCTGAACTGCTCCCTTTGCCAGAACTGAAACTGCACGTGTGAGAGGTGATGGACTTAAACTGGTGGTGCATTAATTCAGACATTAATAGTATGTGAGCAAAGAATTTTCAAAAGGGTTGGTAAATTACATGTTCGGAGAGGCCTTGTACAGGTAGGATGAAGAATGTCTTGGTGTTTTCAGAGCAAGAAACAAGACCTTTTGGCTCTTCTCCAAGAGGAGTAGCACCAAGGTGTGTGTTGGCAGTTTGCTTGCTCTGGACTCCAAAAGAATGCTTGGTTTGCAAAATTTTCTTCTTTTATTTTTTTATTCTCCAGTTATGAATTCCATGTGAAACCTAAAAACCCACTTGGTGAAGGTCCAAGTAGCAATGTCGTGTCTTTCAGTACGGAATCAGGTAAGAACTTCCAAAAGTCTGCTGACTGATTTACAGTGGCTCTTGTATGAGAGTTTGTGGAGCAACTTTAATCCATTTGTCAGGGATATGGGAAAGGCTCTCTTGCTTCATTTTGTATGTTTGGTCTTGCTCTTGGAGATCTTTTCAATCTCCAGATAGTTTTTGTTTGTTTGTTTTGTTGTTTGTTTGTTTGTTTTACTACTCAGCCTGTTACATTAATGGCTGGAAGGTCAGCCTGAGATCACAGCTCTATTGTGTGAGGGTATAAGATGGCCAGACTGCAGGAAAAAAAAGCAGGAGCACGGAGAGTCTGGCATTCCCTATGAAGAAATTAGCTTTACCCTTAAAGAAAGCTCATTCATTTAGGATTCTTATTTCTGAACTTTTTATGTCTACCAAATTCATTAATATGTTCTGGATAGGGAACAAAGTTTTTCTGGGGGCTGGTGTGTTTATGAGCACTTTTTCTACCTGTTCAAAAAAACAAACTGTTTATAATAGTGCTGTCTTTAGACTGAAAAGAGGATTGAGAAATAGTAGCTGGAAAAGCTGATGGTCCTGGTATGTCTTCATCCATCCTTCTTACTCTTCTGTGAAACTGTTAAAGATGTATTTACGAGTCTATTTTGACCATTGGTTGGTTCCCAATCTTAAGTGCTAGCTGACCCAAAGGTGAGAATCAGAAAATGCCTTTGCTTTCTGTGTTTGAGTTCATAGTGAGGCTAACTGGCTAACTACATTCGACTTAATGACGCTGTACAAACCAGGTATCTTCTTTTGTGTAGAAGTGTTTATTGTTTGATAGCACTTCAGGACCATATTCGACTCCAAATGGGTGTAGCCTGTTTAAAAGGACTTTGTTGATCCGCATTTTGAGCCAGGTGTAATAATATAATAGTCCTGATCACTGCTCAGTCACTGATGGATGGATGAGAGTTTTGACTGAGCAAGGGATTAGACAGGGAGGAGTTCAGATGAAGCCACACATACTGAAAAACTGTGAATACACTCTTTGTAACCTGGATTGTTAGAACTGAAACAATGTTTATGCCAAGTGCAATTTTCATTAATGACAAGGCTTACATTCTGTCTCCTATTTAGCTTGGCCAAATCAAGCAGTCAGTTTAATTTTTTCTTAATTGCACACATCAATTTGTCACTTTTGGGCTTTCATAACCAAATTTTGTGTAGCAAGCATTACAGAAGTGTCCTTTTTTTCCCCCAAGTTTTTGACAGTGTAATTAAAAATGGTGGGGAGAAAGGCAACAGAATTGAGGTTTACTGGTAACCGGTTTAAACTTGTCTTTACTAGAACCCAGTTTGAATCCAGGGTCCCATAAGAAACATTTTTAAGAGCTCGTTGATGCTGTAATTTCACACCATAACATAAGAAATGACTTTGGTTAATTTGATAGAAAAGTGAACTTTGCTTCCAAAACACTGTGTTTCACCAATTTGCCAGCTATAGGAAATTACTTACCAATGCTTTTCCATTGGAGTTTTGGGAAAGTTAATTTTTTGGTGTCTGATTGAATGTTTGTTTCTTTCCACAGCGGACCCAAGAGTGAGTGAGCCGATTTCAAGTAAGACTATTATGTATATTATAATGTCCTCTGATCAGATTTTTTTTTTTTTTTTTCAGCAATGAAGTAGCATAATTTTAGTGGTGGGGTTCTGTACTGCACCAGTTAAATGAACTGTGGAATCAAGCAGCCTTTACACATGATTCCGTTCTTTCCACCCATATTTCTTGTGAGGAATTCATGCCAGGCTACTTGTTTACCTGAGCAGAATGCAATCAATGTGATGTGGTTCTCCCATGGCAGCTGGGATGGCTTCAAACCAACGTACACAAATGAGCCAAGGACAGCCTCATATTTTCTGTCTTGTTGTTAAGTCAAAAAAAAGCTCTGCAAAATGAATAAGCTATTTCACACTTTTTAAGTGAGTTAACAGAACACAACTCAAAGGATACTATTTATCTGCCATTGTGTTTCAGGAAAAAAAAAAAACCAACTGCTTCAGAAGGCTTGATCCAGCTCTGTTTTCGGCCACTTATAAGGCTCTTGCTGTCTTTGGTAGGAGGTAGACTGAGCTTTTGAAGAACAGCTGAGATCCATTCAAGCAAAGCGGTCTGCTTTTTGCATTTGTAGTGGACATCACTTGACAAAAAAAACTGAGACACCATTTATTTCCACATAATTCATGACACTTAATGTTTATCTTAAGTTTTTAATCACATATGGTTTGCTGCAAGTTGACTGTCCTGTCTTGAATCCACTGAGAAACAGTGACTGTATCACATAACTTTGTAAATGAACATTTTGCCCACGCACATTGTCCCCCTAAAAAAGTTAGTGAGCCTATTTCAAACTGGCTCCACTGACACACAGAGCAGAAGCAGTTCGCTGCATCAGTCACATCTGCACACTCCAGTGCTTCCTTGAAATACCTTTAATGTTCAAAATGCAGCTGACTGATTCTGAAGTATTGCTATACTTCAATGTGCGTTCTGCTCCATGGAGGTTTCTAATTCGATTTATTTGAATGTATTTGTTGTAAATAATTTTCTGTGCATCGTCATACTTCAGCCTCTTCCTTTCTTGCAGTGGGAAAGGATGCTATCTGGACTGAAATCCCATTCAATTCTGACACCTATTCAGAATGCAAAGGGAAACAGTATGTAAAGAGGACTTGGTATAAGAAGTTTGTGGGTGTGCAGCTGTGTAATTCTTTGAGATACAAGATATACCTCAGCGATTCACTTACAGGTAAGAGAGATTCATGTCAGTGTTGTCCACATTTTATACTCCTCAAAAATACCATGGCTGCCAGAACTAAGAAGTTTATTAACAAGGTGGGCTCTGCTGAAGTGTGATCAAGTATGTTTAATCTAGTCACCAGACAGATTAGTCATAAATATTAGTCTGTTTGTGCTCAGTAGTCATTGACATGTTTGCTACTGAATTTTCAGACTCAAGACTTACTTCTGTGTGGTCATCATCTGATCTGCTGGTATCCTGGGGGATCATACAAAAAACTGATAAAGATCAGATGGCTGCCAGTCAATAGCTTATATTGTAAAGGTGCCAAATCTGTATTTAAAACACAGCCTGGGATAGTTCTTAATAGAGGATTAGGACCTAAATTTAGACTAGGATTAATGCTCAGTCATTCCCATCCCATTTGGTAAACATCTGGTTACTTTATTACTGTGGGGTTTATAAATACCTAACTACAACCCTAGTGAACAGGTTTTACTCACCTGCTTTGACATTCTTGTTTCCTTTTCGCATTCCCCATTTCTGTTCATGATCTCGTTTCGCCCTCCTCATATGTTTTATTACTGTTCTGTGTCTTAAGGTTGTTAGAGAATGATGTATTTAAGTCTAGAATCAAGTGACATGCGCTGTGTCTAAGCTGGGGAAGAAGCCTGTAAAAGTATTGTTTTTCAGTTAATTGATAGTTAAGCAGAACTTTGTATCTCACATGGATTGTAATTGCTATATTTAGAAATATTTTAACTTCTTATAATCCCTCCAAAGTTCCTGGCTTCCTTCAGTATGAGGTCCTTTATCAGAGGTGCACTGACAATTCCATTACCATGGTGCTAGTGCAGCATCCAGAGCACAGAGGGTGTAATACAGCTGTGTATGGGACATGTCTTTGAGTGAAAGTAAGGCAGTACGTTCATCCCAT